ACGATGTTCCTATTGAACCTGAAGAGTCCACTGCTTAAGACTCGTGAGTTTCACTTGCCAAAAATGTTTATTTATCGTGTAAGGCCCGGTGCACTTTATTTTATATGAAAAGCTGGCCAAAAGCACATAGGAAAATGTATTTCCATTAGTCATCGAATGGCACCAAAAAATTATACAGGGTGCGGCAAAAAGTATTATACAAGAGGCAGGAAGTTATTTCTCATGCAAAAATAAGTAATAAATGTAGAATAAAATTTGTTCATCCGAGGCTTAGTTTTTGAGAAAATCTGGTTTGAAAATCCGTTGCATACGTTTACACGAGGACACTAGTTTCAACAATTCTTTAATCGATGTAATAAGATACTATTGATAAAATTTTGTCCTTGTGCTTTCTTGAACCTAGTAACTCGTAAAACTCGCGTAGACGTTGTATACAAACGTACGCTACAGATTTTCAAAAATTTTCAAAAAAAGATTTTCTCAAAAATTAAGCCTCGGATGAACAAATTTTATTCCACATATTTTATTTATTTGTGCACAAGAAATCACCTTTTGCCTGCTTGTACAATACTTTCGGCTGCAACCTGTATATCAGGGTCCTTGAGTGACTCCACCTTTGTGACCCCAAAAGTTTAGCTACCATGAATGTTTTTCTTTCTTACGCAGCTTGTATAAATGAATTCTAAATCAACTTCACAAGCTAACAAAGAGATCCCACATTCCAAACTGCTCATTCGAATGAAATATTCTACAGAATATCGTTTTTCGACCTCTAGATTCAGCCCTCCAAATTTCATCAAAATCCCCGAAAGGGTCAGCTGTATAGTTTCGTTGTAAACGTAAAACACGCGAAAGAAAAATTCATGCGACGTTCTAATCGACGTGCAACAATGACAAATTTCTGAATTCCCATGTGTCTCTGGTCACGTGTGTGTGCCTAGTAGGGGTGAGCTGCGCGTGTGCACGTCATCGATGTTGTCCGAGCTTTGTATTTGCACTTGATACACTATGTACAGCTTCCAGCAAAGTACACACGATGTATCTCTATGCACAGACTACACTTGCGCACGCGTTGATTGATGACACACCTGCAAGAGTTAAAGGTACGTGCACGCGAATTCACGTGTCATGCATGTATGCACAGAGTCCATTTGATACGTCTCGTTGAAAATTAGAGAAACAATGTTTGTGACACCACCGCTTGTAAACGTAAACGTACAGGTATACCATTGTTCTCGCATGTACAGGGCGAACCGTCGAAAACATGATCACCTTAGATTATTCTGTTGTTAGAAAACCGGTCGAAATTTTTGTCGTCCCGCGTAATATGGTTCAAAGAGTGCCTCAATTTTAAACTTTTATGGCTGGTATTTATTGGGTCAGTATTTTAAATGAATGATCAGTGTGTATAATAAAATATCCTAATTTAACCTAACCTAACGAAATATTTAAATTTTATTGACCAGAAAACAAATTAATACCGACCAAATAAAGGAAAACTGACAAAATGCGATTTAATACTGAAAATTAATTATTTATACTGACCAAAATATTCACTTTTGCTGACTATTTATTTAAAAAAATACTTGCCATTAATTAAAAAGAATTACTGACCAAATAAATAGAAGTGAATTTTTAGCAATCCATTCTTGAATTCGACTCTGAAGACCAGAAGAAAGAATCTGAAGGCGACTTTGAAAATTTCGAAAACAACGTACCTGAATCATTTTAAAGGCCCCCTTGAACCATATGTTTCACAGAAAAAAAATTTCGATCAGCCCACTAACAATAAAATAATTTAAAGTGATCACGTTACACGGTTCACCCTGTATAAGAATTGTTCTCGTACGTTGAATAATTAGCGTGGCACTATTTTAGATTTCATCGATGCATGTATGAAACAATGTGGAATAATAAATATGTATGCATAACCGATAAAGAAATACAAATAATGTTCTCAGGCCTAAGCAGCCTGTTAATCCGTTAAACAGAGAATGTTTATGTGCCATCGGAGAGGTGTGAACGTTGTGGTTGCGAGCAAATTAGAATGGCTATTAAATTACTCGTTCAAATTAGATAAAGCACTGAATCTTTGAATTGTATCTGCCCTTTTTTTATTGGCAATGGAAGATCATTATTAACCCTTTGCAATCGAGAGGCGACTGAGAAGCGACATTAAATAATTAATCAAAACAGAGAGCAGATCTATGGGCCTTCATAAATTTGATCACCATAGTGAAATAGAGAATACGTTGAATATTGAAATAAAATAGTATAGTTTATATCTACGTTAGTTTCAAAAAATTTCAACGAAGATTTGCAATCTTTCCAATAGCAAAAAGACCACCAAGTGCGAAGGGTTAAAAAACATAATTGCAAGGAAATTTTGTTGTAATACATTGTTTTCAGTAGAAAGTGGTGTAAAATATTATATTTATACGACGAAGAGAAAAAGTTTTTCATTTGAATATATGTAGAATATCAATTCTTTTTAACATTTTGTGTAAAAAAAAAGTAGTAATAATAATTCAATGTTTTTATCAGTAAGAATTGTAATAAAAAAATTAAATCCCTCAAGAAACCACTGTTTAATATTTCTCAAAAAATTGCTGATACACAAGTGTTCTTTCACTAATTATTAAATTACTTGATAAACTTGTATCAACAAAATTATACATGATTTAAAAAACTTAATTCCCTAACAAGTTCCGAATAAATAAGTAATCAAATGTGCCAAGAAGACTGTAATTCGTCATGTATGTATACGTGACATAGAGGCGTATGTATATTTGATTAGTACACGCATAGCAACAAGATCGCGTGAAATATCCATGAAACGACGACGCTGAAAGGTGTGGGGAATTTGAAAATTCTGCTCGGTTAATGAAGACTGTCGTTACAACAACAACGAAATGTTCGTATTAGCCGCAACTTCTATAATGACGCGATCATTGTCATCGGCACCGATCGAACTCAGAATTGGCCGACGCTTTAATGAGAACGATATTGAATTACCTAGTTCCGCGCGGTTCTTAAAATGACTCATTTAATTTGTGACGGCGACGTCGCGACGCCAGAATGGCCCGATTCTGTCAATCTTAGTGGCGCGTTTTAAATATACATATTACGCGATTGCCGGGAATAAAATATGCAGGCCAGAGGAATATTAAGCCCCGTTGACAGATAAACCACGCCGATATGCACAGATTTCTGTCAACTCGGAGAAATATTTCGCCGTATGAATTATCAGTCGGACCGCAGAGAATTCGTCCACGACTGCCGTTGCGCACGTAAACGCACGGTCGCGTAAGAATTTTTCATTTCCTTTTCTCTGTGTAAATTACGAATCTTTGAGTATTTTTAAAAATCTTTAATTTCAGAATCTGATCTTTACCTTCAATTTTTTCCATTTATTTGCAAGAGGAATTTCATGATAATTCTGATAAATTGTTGCATAAACTTGAGTACAATTATTGACATCTGATGGAATACAAAGGGAAGACAGGTTTGAAATATTTTTTTAAAAATTAGTACAAATGTTATTGGCAAAAAATTAGCCATGAATTAGGCGCAAATATTTACCTTAGACGTGTTTGAGGAAATCGTATAAATATTCTAGTTACAGGAAAAATATAGCCTCGTCTCTTTAAATATAACTTAATCTTAATTGAATCTTAATCCTTTGAAATAGTACCTATTTACTTTGGAAGTTCTTTGTTTTTTGGGGAAAAGTTGAATAATTTCTGCGTTTCTAACTCTGGTTGAGTAAAGTATTGTTGATTTTTCTCACAATTCAATCAAAAAAAGAAAAAAATTTTTTCCTTTTTTTTAATGTAATAACTAAATAATTTCTGTGATTCAAATTTTACTATCGTTATGCATCATATTTATTTTACAAGTAATTAATCAAAGTTACCATCCTTGTCCTAAATAAAAGTTTAGATAATATTATACAAGTATTACAAGATAACAATTACAATCGTAATTCATTAAAGAAATGCTTTTTGTTACTGAAATAATACAAAATTTTGTTCGGACACAATTTTCTTTCAATTTTGCAGCGAACGCCAATGTTTGCTTATACTTCGAAAAAGAAAAAGAATATTTAACGATTTCTCTCTTTATTCATGACACTTGTATAAAATAAAACTTTCCGTTGCAAGTAACTCTTTGAGAATCTACAGAAATATCTTGTACAGTACATATATGAAACGATGGTAAAAGATCGTTTCATAAGTAATTAATATTTAAAGCGTCTAGTCTAGACAGACTATCGGGGTCAAAGCGTCACGTTGTAAAATTTTCCCAGCTTTCCATTTTCGACTGGGTTTCTAAACAGTCGACACCTATTTCTAGGAGTTCAGTGACACTTGAAACGTCTAAAAGGACGTTCGGACGTATCTGGATGCAATATCCTTTAATTTCGAACGAGAACGGATGTGTGGAATTTATGTAATTTTTCTCAGAAAGTAATCTATAAGAAAGGAAATTACATGTACATACTTCTGACTTTAATTTAGTTTCGTGTAAATTTCTTTGAGAAAATCAGCAAAATTAAAGTAGAAATAAAATGGAGAAAACCAGAACTGTTCGTTATTGAAATAAATATTTCAAATAGAATTTGTTCGTTTTCAAGAAAGAACTAATTTAGTATAGTCAGTTTGCCTCTATGTGGACGCGTGAAGAACACATGAAGGTCAATATTACTTTTTTAAATAGAATCATATAATTTTTTATGCATTAATCGATGCATCTCAGAGTATTAACCTATTTATATCGAAAAATCATTAGTTCAGAAGATATTTTAATCTCAATATATGTATATTGCACAGTGTGATTGTATAATAATAGTCCTTCAGAACAGTAGACATTGAAATTAAAATATCTCCAAAACTAACGGTTTTTCGCTATAAATAGGTTAATACTTTTGAGAGAAAGGAAGGACACAAAAGTGTCGAGGAAAATGGAACATTTAAAAACTAGACGTTTTCGTTTTTCAGAGTCGTATATTGGAGGATGCCTCCATTATGTGCAATTCCTGGTCACCGAGGCATAACGTAAGTACATTGCAACATCGTTCACACATTTTCTTTAGATCGTTATAATTCCAGTGAAACGTAATAATATAGTAAAAATTCCTTCCGTTAGCTTTGAATTAATTATCAAGTTAAATTTTATATTATATCTCATCAGAGAATATAGAAATGCTTAGCTGAATTAGCAAATGAATTTAATGGAAACATCATTAATACAATATTAACCACGATTGATCTAACGCTACAAGGAATTTAATAATTAATGTGGTACTGAGTGTGCAGATTGAATTCCTAATTTCATCTTTATACTACAAAGTAAAAGACAAGTAGAAAAAAAGAACTGAAAAAAATAAATAGTACGTGACAATTACTGGTTATGTGTGCAATTAATCACTATGAAAAAAGATTGGGACTGAGCAAATATTGAGAAAAATTATTCAATTATAATGATATTAAGACTGTTTAAATAAAATATGGGAAATATAAGATTATGTATCGCCGTACAATTCAGACTATTTTTCATAAAATAAGTCATTGGTCTGTGAACCAATGGGATCGACTTTGTTATTTCGAAGGTGACGGAAGACAAATTTAGGTTGGTTGATTAATAAAATGTTTATTGCAAACCAGTCCGGTTTCTTTTCGATAGCACTTCGTATTTACAAGTTAGATCTTTCCTATAAAACGAGCCATCGAAGGCGTCGATACATAAACCATTAAACAGCACGTCGCCAAATATTAATAAGGCAGAACATGTAAGTACTTACTTACATACGCGACAAACAAGAAATGTTATCGAAGGTAAAAGAGAATAACGATATTCGGGTAAATGAACGAAAGTAGAAAAGGGAAGGAACTAAAGCCTGAAGACAAATTGGAGGAAGGAAAAGAGAATAACTCGGAACTCTGTTGCTTTATACGAAATGTTCCATAATATTTATGCTTCACGAAGCCACGTAGTTACGGTGGCTTGGCTGACATAAACTCGCTAACTCGTGGTTACGATTATGGCCAGCAGTAAATTGATTATTTAGATATACGATGAGGTGGTGCGAGATAGTTTGAGTGCCGTAAAAAGAGCCACGCGACGCTTACGTCTCCCGCAAATGCAACAAACACCCGCGGTTGCAACAAAGCGTGTCTAACAAGTGTACGCGGCTTTGAAAATTCGTTTCAACTACTCTCGTGAACTCTACAAAGTAGGTATCATTCTGACGATGTTGTGAAATACAAACAAATATTTATTTACGTGACGTTGCGTTCAAATATTCATTGCAAAATGATTTCAATTGCATAGAGACTTATTGTTCAAAAGATAGCTTTATCTTTCAATGACAAAAGTCTCCTTCTTTAATATCTGCCGTTAGAGTGGAAAAATGCAATGATATACATAACTCGTATGCGTCGTTTTTTAATTTTGTGGAAAATATGAGAAAAATTAGGAGCAACTTAACTGAAACATTTTTTCTTTGTAGTAATTGAGATCTTTGATGTTGTCTTTTCAGACATTTAACAAACTACATATACAGGGTGACCATATTTTTTCATCACCAAACCGGGGCAAGTACAAAAGTAAAATGAAAAATAAAATAGTAATTAAAAGTGTAGCAACAATCTATTTGGGAGCCAAGTCTTACTTTTCTGTAGATAAAACTTTCTTATGAAATGTTTTATTATTCTTAATTTGTTCATACAATACCGTACGCTTTCGAGCTCTCTAAAAACCAAGTCACTTCAAAAATCAAGAAATCAGAAAACCGGGACTTATTTGTAAACCAACCGAGACACCGGAACAAGGGTTGAGAACCGGGGCATGTGGTAATCCTACACATATTCGAGTAACTATTCAGCCGGGTCCACACTGGTGTTCGCGAGCAGTTTGCGAATAGATCGCGAACCATGTTCGCCGACAGTGTGGAATTGCAGCAAACTCGTCGAACAGATCTGGTCCCTGTGAACCCGACATTAGGTACCGGAGAAAGTTCGTGTCAGCGAGCAACTCAAACCGAATTTCCTATAGTAGATCGCAAATCTAACGCACAAGATTGATATCAGTGGAAGGTTTCATCTATCGAAGTTTCTCACTCTTTGTATCTTTCATTTGTTTCGATATTTAACCGGAGCTTGTTAACAGGAAGGATGTACTTTTGCACGGCAACGCATCACATTGCTTTTCCGACTCGTGAAAAAGTAAAGAATGCTGAATGGGAAGTTTCAGCACATCCTCCTATTCTTCTTATAACTTTTCAACATACCTTCATACGATCTGTCTTTACATAACATTTTGTTCTTACTCATACCCATAGAACACACCGACAAAATTTGATCGAAAACAACAAGTATACCCTGTATACATGTGCTTCGTAGCGAAAAGGGATAAACATCTCGTACCTCTATGAAGTAAATAAAACCAAGCATACGGGGTTCATCGCAAGTTTTTATCCTGTCACGTATCCGTATTGCAACAAGAATACACCAACCTATCTATTTACACGTATACATACATATTAACGTACCTGTGTAAGTACCTACATACCGGTGAACACAGCGATACATTGGCAAGCGGCGCGGCCAGCTACTTTGTACCGCAATCTCGCGTATCGCAATATTTCATGTCGCAATCTCCGTGCATTTATCGAATGGTAATTTACAATACGACATGCGGCGTTTCGCTCGGCTCCCATCAATAATACACCGTTAATTGCGTTATCCCATGAATGGCATCAATTATTGGCAAGCGGGTATCGAATAAAGCCGCGGCGACTGGTAACGCGTCACGGTACACACCGTGGCACAGCTTCCTGCAGGTAAATATCGGGTGTGTTATAAATTTGAATCGTTTCTAAATCAATAAAGATGAGTCTCGTTGCGGATTCGGATCTCGTCTGTGTCGCAAGTGAAATCGAATTTGATCGGAACGCGCGTCGCCGCGCTCCGCGAACGGGGATAATATTCCCTTTTACCCCCAAACGGTTACTCTAACTCTAGACAGACGGTACTCCGCCATGCAAGTGATAATTCGTACAGTCTGCTGGTTTTCGTGTCAGACGTCAGATTTTCTGGAAGAATTGATTTATTCATGCGTCAGACTACTTCGCGATGTAGGTTATCGGACGGAAATAACGTAATTGTCCCAATTTGCGATATCCGTTGGCCGCCCAGTCCGAGAACGGCGCTGCTTTTAGAACCGAGTATCCGTCCTTTTAATCGTACACTAACGTCGTTTTTCATTCCTCATCGATGCTGCTGCATTCGTTCGTCTGTTAGGAATTACAGCGGTGTAAACAAAGATTAGAAACGACAGATATGAATATTGTATTCTTTTTGTAAATTTTGTTGCTTCGCGGAAGATTTTGTTGAACGTGATTTAGGTGTCGAATTTTATCTCAAGTACGTTTGTATGTTTTCAAAAGTCTTGTTTATTATTTATTGAAGAGAGCTTACGAACAAGATTGTGCACAAGTTAAAAGTGGGATACTTGGACTTGGTTTATGCTGCCAATTTAAAATTATTTAGAAACATGTATAATTTTATATACACTCCTGTTTATAAAAATTGGGCTTATCGAATGTGAAGCGGACTTGAGTCTACTGAAATTTATTAAATTTTGATGAAATTTACCAAAATCTACTAAATATGTTGAAATATGCTGGATTCTATTAAAATCTACTGCATTCTACTAATATCTATTGAAACCGTTTGAAATCTACTAAAATTTATTGACATCTACTACGTTTCAAGAATTCTGGTTTAGAGTTATAAATGTCGTTGGAATTTTCTTTGCATTAAATGTAAACAACGAATACAAAAATAATCGAGAATTTTTGTATACATTCTGACAAATGAACAAATGATATAATATCAATTTTTCTACAAAAGATCGTAATTCGAATATTGTAAATTCGTAAAATAAAGGAATTCAAGCGTGCTGGCAAATGATCATTTATAAGTTGATATTACAAAGCAATAATTGTATATATCCACTGACAATTCTGATATTTAAGAAAATAAATTTCAAGTGAAAAATTGAAGGTTCGATATTTAATTACACGTTGATTTTTTCAAATTTCTCCCTTCAAAACTGTCATAAACATTTATATTTTTAAATCTTTTCCCTCAAGCATTCAGCCGGAATATTTATTCATTTTGCACTCTCCTCTTATCGAAACGTTTAAATATTGCAGAGCGCAAAGATTGAAAGGAGAAATCTAAAAATTATTTTTATCGTTAACATTTTGATGATTGATATGGTAAAATTGAACAAAATAGTCAATTTCCCTTGTATTCCGTATTCTCCCGTGTTGAATTCTTTATCGCCTTTATTTTGAAGCTCGAGGTTGTATTCGATTGCCGAAACGCAATGGAAAATAGAACTGCACGCATTATATAGTCATGAATGTGTATGTTTTGCTCAATTGCATCGAGTTGTGTCCCATTCACCTTAGCATTCTGACCTGCCTATTTTATTTATGCACTTTATTTCATTTTGACAATGACGGTTTACTCTTTTTCAATACGAAGCATTCTGCATAATAGATAAAAGTCGATTGCATCATAGAATGACGGATAGAGCGGTGAAAAACTTTAATGAATATTTGGCCAGAATGTCAGCTATATCACTGTCGATTGCAAAGAATTACGAAGTTTATACTCTCAGTCGTGCAACAATCGAACCGTATTTTCACTGGTTTGTTCATCATTGCGAAAGACGAAGACATTTCAAAGTCGGCTTTACAAATAACGCTAGATATTAGGTTTGAAATTAGCTGAAATTAGCGGTACCATATATTAAATTTTATTCGATCGTAAATTTTTATACACAATAGTCAAGAAGAAGGTATTTCCTGTAGTACACGTGTATGTAATAATAAAAAAATTCATAATAGCGTTGTTTGGACAGTATTATCTGACGTAATCTGGATATTCGTGTAATATTTTTATATAAGTTTAAATTTAGAGAAATTACGATAAAAACTGCTGAAAATATAAACTTAGCATTTAAAGAAGGTTATAAGGTAAAA